TACATATGATATATATATATATATATATATATATGTGTATATATATATATGTGTGTGTGTGTATAAATAAGAATCATCCGCTATAATTTACACTAAATTATAGTGCCGCGTCTAAAAGAAGCCGGGCCGACGTGGAGACTCTTGGACGAGGAGTTCCGGAAATACCTCGGGAGTTCGCGAGAACAGAGTCGTCCGGCCGAGGACCATCTGCCACCATCACCACCCTCGTCCCCCGGCTAATCAGTTAGAGGTTATATCTCTCCCTCAACCACCTTCACCTTTCCCTCAACCACCTTCACCTTTTCCTCAACCACCTTCACCTCCCCCGCAAACTTCTTCGCTTCCCCCTTGATTTCCGTCATCCGCGTTTTCGAACGCACTGACGGAGAGAATCTTTCCTACTCCTCTATTATCGTCGGTCGATCCTATCCCAATTTCCCCCAGAGGAATTCCGTCCCCGACGGACAGCGTGGAGTTCTTAGAGGAAATTCCTCCGCCCCCACCTAGATCTTATTTCCGAATCCTAGAGAGTGACACTCTCGAGTCACTCATCAGCCAATTCCCGCGGACTACTACAGACTATCGCATCCATCACTCAGGGGACCTACACAAACGGCCCTCATTACTTCGATCCTGAGGAAATCCGGAATATCATCACCGGCCAAAACTCAATCTCCTGTATCCTTGTATTCCTCCCAAATTCCGCCAATTCATTCCTAGTTCCAGTGGAATTCTTTTATAATTTTTTCCCTCCTTTTTCCGTTTCCATCCACGAAATAGATTAATCAAATCCCATCCGATTCTCCCGACTACTCGATGTACATAAAACGCATGCCCGTTACTGAATAGACTGTTGCGGTATTTATGTAATAGATTAAAATGTATAAATTAGTTATAATAAATGCGCCTATTGTTATATATAACCGTCTGTTATTCTTGTCTTTTGATTAGCAACAATAAATAATGTTAGAAATTATTCTTCTCGCTCTCGTCATTCATTTTTGAAATGAATACCTAATAAAACCTCGTAATCATTAAACCTTGCCCTTTCAGAGCTCGCACGTGGTCCATTCCCGAGTTAAAGGGATTTTCCTGACTCGAAATTCGAACCTCTCGTAGGAAACAGGTGTCATAGCGTCTTTAAGAGATGTTGACCCATATTCCGAAGCGAGCAATAAAAAGGGTGCATTCGACTCGCGATATTTGCTTCTGTGCGGATACCTGCGAGACAAGAGTCTGACCGTCCTTCCATCCTGTCTACTCCCTTCTCTCTTTAAATCCATTTTCCTGAACTTGGACAACGTAATAATAAAAAAGAAGCATATTAATAAGAAAAATTAGAATTATATTGAAAAATATAAATATTCAAAAAATAAGAAAAATAAGAAGCATTTCCAATGAGAGTTAAAATATCTAGCCTGTATATGCATGCGATTGAGTTATAGAATCATGTAAATTATGAACATTGTAAATATGGTTAAGTTTAAGTCTAAGAGAAATAAATTTCTATTTGTAAGACATGCGTTATGAAAAAGAAACAAATAGTAAACTTTATTCTTATTCAATGTAAAGTTCAGATTAAATTTATTATTATGTTACTTTTAAATTATAATTACTTTTTATTATATATTTATTTTTATTAATTATCATTCTAATTTTAAACAGTTTTTCTTACTCGATCTAGCAGCGCCAAGTGTTTTTATATGAAAAATGTTTCTATTTAAATTAAATCTTTTTGTTTTATACATTTAACTCTTTATTTTTTTTGTAATAATACTTAAATTGAGCAAGGTAACGCAATTATGTGATAATATTTTGTATAATATTTTGAAGAAGAATTAAATAACCATTACTTTAATTGGAAGAGAAAACGTTTTTGAATGAATTGTGATATTATATAATAATTTCATTTAAGAGGAATTTAAACCATTTAGATTGGAATAGAAAGATCCTAAGATATATGTATATTTATATTTATTGTATAAAAATTAAAGATAGTACCATTTGGATTAAATAAATAATAATAAAGATAGTATCACTTGAGTTTTACTTTCTGTTTTGATAGCAGAATTTAACTTGACGCCACAGTTGTTGATATCAATTCTTTTATATAAATACATATCATTAGATTAATATTCATTATTTATTTAATTTGTCATGATATATAAAGAAATGGGATTTAACTTTGCGCCAGTTTTTCATATGAAATCTTTTATAGAAATGATACATATCATTAAAGTTAATATTATATAATTATTTATATAATTTAGTGATCCGAATTACATGGAATTTATTTTGATTAGTTAAGATTGTAGCATCTGGGTTTTAATTTTTCATTTAATATATTAATTTTTTTCGAAGAATAATAATTGTTGACAGAAAATTAAAGTTGCCATTACGTGGGTTGGAATAACAAGACCTTTGATAAGAATATCCTTTTCCATCTGATTAATGCCTGGTTTTTTATATCAAAATTTCGTATAAATTTAAATAAGTGTAATTCCGCGAAAAATGGTCATATTTAAAAAAAAATTTTTTTTATTTTCAAAGGTAAAATCTGTACTTTTATAGATTTTGAATCTATCCTTATTCTTACTAGCATTTTTTTTTAAATAAGAATGTGTTTTCTTTTTAGAAATTTGCATAGTTTGACGTACTCCAAGGGATAAAGTAAATTTTTTTTTATAAATATCATGATAACCATCGTAAAGTATGGATTTTTCTCTTACAAATTAAAAAAAAGCTTTATACGATTTTTTTTTAAAGATACAGTGTATCAAATTTACCTATGCATTTTATGCATATATATTCTCAATCACCAGCATTAGCACTACCGATGCGCACCACAAGTCTAGTCACTTTAGGATAAAAAAGAGCGTTTAAACACAAAAATTCCGACCCAGTTGAAAATTAGGAAATAGTTTTATTCAGGCGATTAAAAATATATCTGAAAACTTCCTAACGTTAGCTTGTACGCTAAGTTCTTTATCGAGCGTCAAAGGTAGAAATTTTGAGATTATCTTCTTTCCTATCAATTTTACGATTAATTAAAGTAATTCTTTAATCAAAGAAAGATAATAAAATTCTCTACAAAAAAGTAGTTTGCAATTTTTTCGTAGACCAATCATATTTATAAATTTGATGTGAAGCTCACGCTTTTTTAAATTAATACATTTTTATCCAGTTTTGAACTAAAAATGAATAATTTTTGAAAGCAAATAGAACAGAAAATATTCAAATTTGTTTTTAAGTGCAAACCTTGCATAAAAGATATGCTTTTCCTTTGTTATTGCAGAGGGGACGAGTGAGAAAGCAGGTATACGGATAGCGTAGGTAGACTGATATAAATGCACCGAAGAGTCTGTTATTTCGCCTAGAATTTTCTGGAAACACGTAGCGGAGTGGGGAGAGGACAGGGGAGAGTAGAAAATGCAGTACTCACCAGTAACAGTTTTGAATAACGTTCACGGCATGACGGACGTACTTCGTGCATATTAAAGCGTTATTGACCTTGCGTTGGATAAATGTAAAGATGGAGAGGTATGTAACGAAGTGTTCGCAACCGATTTTGACAGTCGTACGTGGACTAAAAACATGATTGAGTCAAGCATCAAACGAAACGATGGAAAAAGTGGAATTATTCGAGAGTGCCAAGTGAATTACAGTTCACGTAGAGTGCCGTGTGCAGTATGTTTGCAAGTCGAATATCATTGTTTATAAGGAAGCAGGCTGCTAAAGATAATGCAATTGCATCTTCAAGTTCTAGCAGATCGCGATCAAGAAAGTCGACGTTTTGTTTTGAACAGTTGTTATTTTCTGTGGAGAGGAAGCGAGTGAAGAAATTGAAAAAAAAAAAAGCGAAAAGACATTCGTAAAAAAATAGAGTATGTACAGTTCATAGCAGGAATGCCTGAGGTTTGATTTTAGGGGTTCACGTTTCGTTCATAGTTATTTTTACATTCATGACTATTAAAATCTGTTACGACCGGATGTTACGTCAGCGATCATAAACATATTGTAGTATTTGTAAATTGTGCTTTGACAGCCGGCCGATGTAACCTCAGTTTTAATCAGTGAAATATCTCTCTATTAGATAACCTAATGATTATATTGAAGACATTTCAATATTTCTCCATTCGGAGAAAGATGGCAAAAATTTTTTTAAAGAAATCTCTGAAATACTCCAAAGCTTAATTGAAAGAAAGCGAATTGAAGCCTGCAACCAGATAAGTTGCAGCTTTGAAAAAGTATAATTGCTTTTACTTACTAATAAGAAAATTTACTTTGTGAGCTGTTTTCCTTATAGTAATAATATAAATAATCGAATAAGACAGTCAACGATGGAGTATTTGTGGCGAGAAGTGTTTTATTAAATACGAGGGTCGTTTGAAAAGTCCGTGCAAAAATAAAAACTATACTACTTAATTTTTTGGGGTAAACTTTTTTTATTTTTCAACATAGTCACCTTTTAGGCTTATACACTTCGTCCAACGCTGCTCTAATTTGTTGATCCCTTCCGAATAATAGGATTTGTCCAAGTCTGAAAAATAGCCATTTGTTTCTGCAATCACGTCCTCGTTTCCATAAAATCTTTTTCCCGCCAGCCATTTCTTCATATTGGGGAACAAATAGTAGTCCGAGGGAGCCAAGTCTGGAGAATAGGGGGGATGTGAGACGAGTTGGAACCCTAATTCCATTAATTTTGCAACCACAACTGCTGAGGTGTGAGCTGGTACGTTATCGTGAAAATCACTCGACTTCCTCGATTCAAAATGTAAATCCAATGTAACACCATAGAGGGTAAAAACAAAATTGCTTGCAATCGGTTGAGCGACCGGTTGGTAGAAAATTTTCACGATTATCTATAAGTTATAATCTTTTAAGTATAGATCTACAAGCAATTTCATTATTATATTAAGGAACTCATTATGGTCTCACATTTCCAACTATGATGTAGATAAGATGCGTGTCATGTTGTTTGTATCAATCACTATAATTATGAGGTCAATAAATATGTGAAATTATTAAAACTATTAGTCACCAAGTTTAAGATTAAAATTGTATAAATATATAAAATGACTAGTCAAAAAGTTAAAGATTAAAGATGTATAAATATATAAAATTACTAGTCAAAAAGTTAAAAATTAAGATGTATAAATTTTATATATGTGAGTTGATACTGACTGATATGTTACAACATTATCTTTACGCTGAAATTATAAAACATTATCTTAACGCTGTAAAGTCATAATTTTTTATTATCGGTATGTATTATACGTTTTGTGAAGTCCCTCCGTAAGTTGAGGTCCTAATGTAAGTTGAGGCTATTTTTCTGTTTTTTAATATTTAACATTTCCGAGAT